ATTCCATCAACTAGCAAACGCCATTGTATGACAAATATACATGAACAATCATACGAAATTAATAATAGTTTGTCTCAAACAGTAAATATGCAACGTAAAACTTCCCCAGTTAGTATAAAAAACTGTACCAATTTCAATGTATATGTGAATTATAACTTTTATAAGAAATAAATGATTAGTTAATTGAATTTATTGTGTTTTTATAATTTGATTAAATTGCTTCATTTTTTCGCAACTGTATTAAAAATAGTCGTTCAGTACACGTACGGAACCGTCATTGCAACTCGTTCCGACTGTCAACCCTCGCCTTCGGCTCGGGTAAACATTTGTCGGAACTCTTTGCAATGACAACCATTCCGTACTAGTAATGAAATATACTATTTCCGCACAAGACTACCAATACAAAAAGTTTTACTCAAGTGAGAATTGGTTCCTTATTTCAAACCAAAATTCTTAAATAATGCATATGGACTTATACTATTATGACTCTAAAACTAGAAGTGATAAGTTTTTTGCAGGTCAAAATGTCTATTATAAGGAGAATGAAAGGTCTAAAATCTGGAAATCTGCCAAAGTTATAAAGATTTTGAAAAACCCTCGTTCTATACAAATTATTTATAATAATGGAGTCATAAAAACTAGAAATACAAAATTTATTAAAACAAGCATGGAAAAAGAAGTAGAATCTAACTATCCAATTAATAATGATTGTGTTCAGAATTATTGGAGTCGTCCAAAATTGCCAGTAAACCATGACAGAAAACTTTTCATAAAAAAAAATGCTACGCATGTTAGAGAAAAAATATTTTAATCCGATTAGGATTTAGCACTGTATAATGCGATTCAACTAAGAATAGGACCGACTGGGCGCCATATTTTGACGTCATAGCTCTCAATTCAAACCAAATAGGTAGAGTGAGCAAAAAAAAGATTTTATTTAATAAAACTTCTAAGATTAAGTAAGAAAAAACATCGGATTTTTGGAGTTTACTCCTTAAGAATCGATTTGCTTATGTAAGGGGCCCGGTATGAGAAAAATGTGAGGAGTAAAATCTATCGATGAATGACATTAATGACCTCGTTACGTTTTTGTGCGCAATCTCATCTGCGCACCTTTCACTTTTAGCCATGGCAACGGATAAAAAACATTGAGTTGTCACAAATGTCAATAAAATAAATAAACTAAAAATAGATAAAATCGGAGCAAAATTAATGAAAACAAATAAATAACAGAATATAGAGAAATGCCGGTAAGTGTCCAGCACTTTGGAATAGTGATTTTCAGTACAGATGGAATTATAATACATATTTACAAAATGATGACTAGTGTGTGATATTTTTGAAATTGTGTGTTTCCAGAAATACATAATAAAATATATGATGAATATCGCCGATGTTAGATGATAAAATGTGTGACATGGAACCTATCATAGTCGAATCCATAGGATGATTCCTGAGGTATCTCTACTTGTAACCGACTTCTTCGGACTTGATTTTGTTTTGTGTCTGTTCAAAGACAATCGTTTTTAGAGTGTAAACTCCAGTCGTGCGTCTGAGCTGACACACACATTTTTTTTTTATTAAAATATTTACTAAGATTGAGAAATAAAGAATAAAAATAGTTATTTATTAACACTGTGTGAGAAAAAACATAAATCAGAATCTAGCTCTTCAATTCCACTCATCTCTGCATTACCGCCGGAGTAGTTAAGAATAATCATACACTATTACTTGGTCACATATGAACTTGCATCCTTTAGGTAAACGAAAGTTTTAAATTGAGTTTTTGAACGCAATCAGTTATCAACCATTCATAGCCAAAGCTCAATAAATCAAAAAAAGATATCAACCAATATTAATTATCAATATTTGTTTGTTCGTTTACAAATGTGTGATTTTTATATAGAATTAGCATTAGAAGAGTGCTAAAAAAGGTTACCATGTTTTTTTTTGCAAACCGTACTTTTCAAGCGACATTTCACAGATGGAGGTCATTGGCTTTTTCCTATTCATATTTGAATCGCATTATACTCTATTCTGATCATACGATTATGAAAAGTTAAACATGTTCAATGTTGTTCAATTGAACCTGATGTTATTAACATCACTAGTGCCATAGATATCAATAATATGTTTTTCCTTGGTTTTTGCTAAACCACAGATTATGTATTTACAATCTTTATGATGAAATCCAGATTTAACAGGGGTTTTCTTTAACAAACAAAATTAATGAGAACTAAAAAAAATTTTTTTTAATACACATTACAACACATTAAATTTATAAAAGTGGAAAGGTATTTTAAAAATTCCATGACGTGATGCTTTATCTATGTAATTCCAAACTATTGGTATCGATTCTGACACGATTCTATAAACTTTAACTTGACAACAGTGTACCCTTGTTATTCTCTTTACTGAAAGAAAAGGAGGACCTGATGTTAAATTTACTTTTAAAGAGAACCATGCCAGAATCGACACCATTATTTAATTCAGTGTTACCACTTTTTACGAGTTTTCTACTATTTAGTTGGTTTAATAATAATATTTTAACCTTGAGTAGGTTAAAAAATTATTATTATTAAGGTATTTTTAAAATTATGCTTTTTACTTTTTCGACGTCCGCTATTGCTTGCGCAGTATATTTATTTATTTGTTTACTTATTTGCATATTATATTTTAACATAATTGTTATTAAAATTATTTAATAAGGTGTATTTAAAGATAAGAAAACCAGTGCGAGCCAGCTCATATTTTAAGTTTTTCAGAACTAAAAGACCATATTTCAAGTGGGAAGGTCGTTTTACGAATTTGTCAAACAGCAAAGTTAGTCGGTAAGTAAACATTGAGAAATAAATGAATTCATTTCTCTACTCTTCTTTTCATCCAAAATTACATCTAATAACCACTTACTAAGCCCTACAGATTTGATACTTTTGTAATATTATACAAATGTGAACATGATTTTTATCATCTAACTCGTCTTTGCTTCAGATGTTTCCAAAAGAACGATTCGACGCGTAGTGGACGAAATATTATATATTAATGGAGATAGAAAAGACAGAAGTAAGTATATATTACGTGCCATTGCCATTGGTTCGTCAAAAAGTGATTTTTTATACGAAAAAACTATTAGCATTCTTGGGAGAAAATATAGAGATGGTGGCCATTAACCAGAAGATTTTAGGCTGAAAAAGCATTTTAGGCAATAATTTCACAAAAATGGAAAATCTGTGTAAATTTAAAATCGAAAATTTTGCCTTTGGTGGATTCCGTGCAGATGACGATGATTCCAGTTCCAGTGGATCCTATGAGGCAGACAGCAACCAGCAAATTGATGACGCAGAAATAATAATTTTAGTTAGATTTTTAGGGCTCTGAATAATAATAATATATTCACTATATTAACTATCCTTCTTTTTATTTACCACCTTTAGTTAGTGTCCGAAAAAAAGGCCGGTCATGAGTAGCTCTAGTGGATACTAGCCCGGACCTCGAAAGTCAATCATGAAATTTTTTATTAAATTTTATTTTTACCATTACTCTGCTCAATTTATAAATCTACAGATTTTTTCACTAGAAAAAAAAATGAAAAGATTTTTTAAATTCAATCAAAGTGTCAGGCAGGTTCAGAAAAAATCTTAAGATGATGATAAGATAGAAACTGATAATAATGAAATGTATGGAAATTATAGAATTATACATTATTACTTTTTAACAAATATTAAATCATTTTAGTCGTTGCATAACGGGGATTCCCCTTAAGCGACAGTGGCGAGCTCCTTTCTTTCCTGACTTTATTGACGGACTTTTAACATCCTATCGTTTGACGTTTTAATGACAGTCGTGTGACGTCACATACCAGTTTGACGCCATAATACCCAGATTAATTAAGTCCAAATTAAATATAATATTTTTCGGAAGTTTTGATTTTGTTTTTTAAACTGAAATTACAACAAAATGATGAATATCCACATCTCAATATCCATATCTCACACATCAAGGAGTGGAGGCATAGCCCCGCCGGCCCTAAATCCGGCCCTGATGAATACTAAAACCATTTGCCCGGGAATTGTATTAGTCATAACCGATTTATTAATATTATTACACGATGACCTCCGTTTTGTAAAGTAACATTAAAAAAAAAAGTATATTGGTAGCTTGTGTATTTAAGAACAAACGAGACAAAAGGCCTTATTTGTGACTATCTCACTGTGCCTGGGTTGGCCTTCTTTGCACCTGGCAACGTAAAAATAACTTTATTGTAAAGAAGACAGGGTTTTTTGTTTTTCGAAAATATGATTTTTAATACTTTACTTTGTCCTGTTTATGTAGTACATCCATGTGTACTCTGAATAGACGACACCTTAAAACGCAGCATAAAATATCATCATTTCCTTCATTAATATTCTTTTATTGCTCAGTAGGCCTATTTGCTAACTGCTTTTGAAAGATGGAACTGATAATCACCGAGCTATTTAGTGATACAATACTTGTACGGAAAAGTCTCGATGGATTTACAATTTTTGACGTGACAACGTCTTAAATTAGGTTGCGGCTGGGAGTCACTTATGAAAAAGTGTAACGCTCGGTAACGTTACGATGAGTCTCTCGTGTTAAGTTTAAGTTTACATGTACAATGTTTTAGTAAACAAAATATATTTCTATAGTTAAAATTTGTGCAATTCTTATTTTCATTCAATTCCTTGTTCCTATTGTGCAATTTAATTATATTCATATCAATAAATATTCTACCGAGAAAAAGACGTTGTCACGTAAAATCTTCGCCCGTAAAACCGACTTTACAGGCAACCATTTTTTTTCTTTAATTACACAATTGTGTCGATTCTGGCATGATTCTCTAAACCTAAATTTAAATTTGACAACAGTGCATCCTTGTCATTCTTTATACAGAATATAGTAGAAAAAACAAGTAAACGCTGACAACATTGAAATGAAATTAAAAAAAAAACAGCAAAACTCGACCGGCAACAAAAGTAGTTCGGCCGATGTGCTGATGAACTTCTCTACTGTCGTATTTGTATTAGTTGCGCTTGGTTTAAAAAATATCAATCGAATGTTGTGAATGAAATTATGTGAAAAACAAAATATTTTGAATGAATGTATGCTTTAGAAACGGCCAGAATATTTTTCGTAGAGTTTCAGCTGATTCCTATGTGAAGTTAAGTGAAATTCGCTCGATAATCTGGATTACAAGGAGGGTATTCATGTTTATAAATATTGATTTGTCGCATTGTGTTTCCTAACGTTTCATTAAATATATCTAAACGTGAAGTGAAATGTAGGTACTCGTGAAAATCAGAGAATATAAATAAAAATGCAACAACCAGTTATACGGTATGGCGCGGTAGTGTTTGTGATCATTTTGTGTGTTTGATATTGTTTGCTGTGGTTGTTCTGTTTTCTGACAATGGAGGGGACTACAGAGAAGGATTGTTCTCCTTTATGGAACCTGTATCAGCAGATCGTTTCTGACATGAAGGTAGGTCTTTTTATTAAATATTTAAACCCCATTTCGCGACCGCCAAGATTGCCCTAGATATCTTGGAAATTGTCTTTACAAATCCCTCAGTTTGAACAGATTATTCTCATATTATCGTTCTTATTTACCATTAAATATATTTAAGATGTAAAAGAGATGAAACATGACTCACAATTTCAACGTAAAAAATAAAACATCTCTCTACATAGGTAAGTACTTTACAGTATCTTTTAAATAAGAAAACCAAATTAATACTTAGTACACTAACAAAAGTTCAAAGTAGAAACTTTTTATTATATTATATTAAATATTTAAGCAAAGTTACACTTCAGATTATTTCTGAACATATACACAATTGAATTGAATTTTCATGTAAAGATTATGCAAAAAGTGTTATCATTTCTTTGGCATTTTGTTTAAACTATTGGGAGGCTAAATTTGTCTATATTCCTTTGGTTTATCAATTATATTTATTTAATTAAGTAAAAAGAAAAAAAAATCAAAGACATCTTCATTTAAAATTGTACAACACAGAAAATATTAAATGATTTATTCTTTAACCCTTGATACCAACAAACAAAAAATAATTAAAAAAAGTTTTAAGGTTCTGAAGTGTTCAGCCTGTTCTTAAAAGACTGCTCCTGTGCTTCATATTTTCAGTTAGAATTATAATAATTTGTGATTCTCCTTTTTTATATAAAAAACTTATTAGGTATATGTTTCGCCATTATAGCAATAACAGGGAAACCTATAATTACCATAAGCCATACCTTTTGAAGTTACTGTTTTATGTTATGTTAAAACACTGTTGCTTTTCATAATATAAATAAAATTAAGTTATATTAATCAGTTTTGAATAAAACAGGAACTGCACCGACCACATAAATCTATTATACTCAACACTGATTATCATAGTAAAAACACAATAGATAGGTAATTGGAATGCAGTGTTCTTAGTAATGTGATCATTATTTGATTACACTTAATAGTTTAAATTAAAAGCAGCACATCTTTAAGTGCTTTTAATTGACATTCTAGGTTTGTTTGATTACACAAAGTTGTGAAAACAACATCTTAATATTATATTGTTTTAAACTTCCAAGCCTTAAGTGAATAACATAAACAACTTATAATTTTGTTATTTCAGTTATCTTTCAATCTTAGTTGTGTGCAGTGTATAAAATTGGTGACTGTTCTGTCTATTTAGGAATTGTTTTCAGAGACTTCAGTAAAATTGAATGCTTCAGGAGGTCACACATTGTCTACTAACGGCCAGTTTAAAAAATTACACTCCCATAAGGGTCAGTTTTAAAATAACCCTCCAGTTAAAGATAAGGATAATCTGATTCCGTTACTTGGCAACAGCTGTTATTATAGTCTTAATAATATAAATATCTTCTTATCATGTGGCCAGCCTATCTCCATTTAAGGCTGCTGGAGAAACAACAAAAAATGGAGCAAGTCAGTAATTTTATGGTACCCAGGGGGCCATTCGCCTAACAGGATTACTATGGCTATCACTATTGTTTACGGTTTCATATTGTTATTTCTTACCGCCGCAGGTTTTTAAATATGTAACACTCATTTTCTCTAATATTGTTATTACCAATGCAAAAGAAAAAAATAGAGCATGAGGCATTTGAAATCCTTGGGCGGGCAGAAAGAACAAAATGTATTAATAAGCGACAGCCATAGCAATCCTCTTTAGTGATTGGCCCCCAGGAGATTGAAAGGGTAACCACTCAAGAGATGGGAGGACTACATAGTTCAGTTAGCGGGGAAAACTTGGACAAAGTTGGCTAGGGAGAGGAAAAAGTTGAAAGACTTGGAGGAGGCCTTTGCCAAAAGGCACACAGAGTTAGAAGAATTATAAAAATAAACACATTAATATATTTTTATATAAACAATGTTAATCTCCTTATAAAGGCTATAAAGAAAATGAAAATACTTGGCACCAAAGCTCTTGTAAGTCTATTTCTTACTGGAGTTTGATTTTTGAAACTGGCCAATAAGCGGTAGGCCCAGTAGAGCTTTGTTGCTAAGATTCAATTTTCATTATTAAAACATGTTGTTATAGGTTTTAGCAACTGTTCAGTTGTTAAATAACATACCAGATCATCGTTACCATTGACTCTAGGTTGATTGTTGAAACTGGCCATTAGTCCAATATTTCCAGCCATAAGATTTTGTTTTGTGTAATGATAAGTGTCCTAAAATTCGGATTTTTATTATCTTATCACCTCATAGCAGCAAATTAGCCCACCCCACTTAATGCCACCTCAGAAAAGTATGCTACTATAGCCATCTGCCCCTGCTGTGCCCGAATCCTGTTCTGCGCCTGGGTAGCTGACTTCCTGCATGAGCGTAGAATTCGCGTTACGGACGGATGTAGTTCGCAGTTCAAGACAGTGAATGCCGGTGTTCCTCAGGGCTCCGTTCTATCCCCCACACTCTTTCTGCTGCATATCAATGATTTGATTCCACTTGTGAATATTCATTGCTATGCAGACGATAGTACAGTGCATGCGAGATACTTTGGACACGCGGCGGCTGGACAGGTAGAAACCATTTAGAAACGGGAGAATCTTGTGGTTGAACTCAATCAGGCTTTGGACCACTTTTCCGAATGGGGTACCAGGAACTTGGTTGAGTTCAACGCCAAGAAAACTCAGGCTTGCGCTTTTACGGCAAAAACATCGCCATTCCTTCCCCTTCCCTCTCTTCAGGGCACAACACTGGCGCTACAGAGCAATATTACCATGCTCGGTATGGAAGTTCGCTCAGACCTGATTCCAAGGGAACCATCGAAACCTTGATCAAAACAGCTTCACGCAAACTCGGGAGTCCTAAACAAGGTGCGGCGTTTTTTCACGCCTGGTCAACTGTACTTGTTGTACAAAACGCAAGTGCGGTCCTGCGTGGAATATTGCTCGCACCTCTGGGATGGCTCCGCTAAGTACTTACTCGATGCCTTGGATAGGTTGCAGCGGCGCGCTGCCCGCATCATTGGCGATGAAGAGGTAACTAAGAAACTCGAGTCTCTACAATTACGCCGTGATGTGGCATCATTAAGCGCATTCTACCGACTATACCATGGCGAGTGTTCTGAGGAGCTATTCTCGCTTATCCCTCCATCACCTTTTCTTCAGTGGACCACGCGCGCTGGCCTACGTTGCCACCGATTTACTGTGGCCACTATTCCTACACGAACAAAGAAATTTGGTGACTCATTTCTTTGTCGTACTATTCGTAAGTGGAATTCTTTACCCGCGCACGTGTTCCCTCCTTCCTATAATCTGGGGTCTTTTAAGAGAGGCGTGAAGAAGCATATTTGCAGGCCGGCAAGGTGAGGATGGTTGTTGTAGCAGTTTATAACTGCTATACCAGCTATCTTCGCGTTTGGACTTTATCACCACTTAACATCAGGTGGGGTAGAGTCATTTGCCTACCTGGCTATAAAAAAAAATCCATTCCCCTATTACACAACTATATTAAAAAGTTTTGGTCTTCTACAAAACACCTTTAAGCTTACCTTAAGCAAGGCAGCTACTATCAAGCTTTCTGTACAAATGGATTTAAATTGTACATACCACTAAGAAATATCAGCAATTGGATAAAAGTAAAAAAAATGCGTAATTAGAATATAGCCTATCAAATTTCCCATGCAAGTAGTGAAAATAAATAAAGGTTTGGTGACCAATCGCCTAACGGGATTGCTAAGGCTATCACTATCGCTTGCGATTACATTTTATTTATTTATTTATATCAAATAATCTATGATTACAGGTTTTTACCCAAAGGCAATAGATACATCCATTTAAAATTACATAAAGTTATTAACAAACACATTGGAAGAAATAATTAGTTTTAACTGATGATCCACTCAGTTAGTTTTGTGAATTATTATTTTTGTTATTTCTGACCGCCGAATATATTCAAATGCCGTGCGCTCTTTTAACAATATTAAAGAAAAAGAGTACACGTCTGATTAAAGCTGTTTCCTTAATCTTCCAATGCTATAGCGTCAAGCTGTACCACAGTAACTATAACAATATCACGGACCACACTACAATACTATCATATCACTGTCGACATCGCGGGAACCGCGCATTGGACCAATTAAGATTCTGCAACCGATACATGCGGCGCGGCTGGTTCTCTTTACACTCTGGTTATTTGATAGAAAGTACAATCACCAAGGTTTTTGGTGCGTCTACACTTAATTGCAGCTGCGTGTCGGGTTATCTTCTTTCTATCTACGAATTTACCGTCCTTTTGAAGATCTATATTATGACTGAAGAGTGGCTTAGTATTAGTGTATTTGCTACTTTCTTTTTGCCCTTGGAGGGCGGGCCTGCCTTGCCTTAATTCCGGGCACTGATTCTGCCGGCCGTGGTATTAAGAGCATGCCTAGAGCACTGCTCCACATTCCAACCATCCACCCCCCACTCTTACGACGCTTCGCTTACCTTGTTCGTTCAATCCGAGCTGGAAAAGTCGTTCTACCCTACAATAAAAAGCGCTCTTCTATAAAGCACCTCGCACACTAAACAACCATGACTACGTCCAGTGGCCGCAATCTGGTCGTTTACAACTTACTTCAGGATAAATCAGCAACTAATATGGTGAAAATGCCTCGAATAAAATATAATAGATCTATAGAGCTTTAGAAAGAGCGTGAGATTCGGGGTGTATTCCGAAATATACATCAGTATACTGGTATGCTACCATATTTTTACCGGGAAAACGAATATGACGTATGACCGAGCGTGCGTGAGATGCATTAGCATTTTATTTCTTTTTTATAATGGCATCCGAACAAAAAGAATTCCTTTTAATTGATGAGATGAATAAAAATTCTTCTTTATTCGCACTATTTTTAATATTTTGTCAATTTATGGCGTCAGTGCACTGGCCAATATATTTCGGAACAATTCACCAGTATAGCGTCGATTCATGACGTCATTAGCACTGGCCAGTATACTGGTATATATTACGGA